ACAGGGGTGTGGGGTCAGGTGACCTTCAGGTCCCTCTGGTCCTCAGGACTGTGCATGTCACTGGGTCACTGCACAGTTCCTTCAATTCCTGGGAGTTACTTGCCCCAGTGCTGCACACACCTGTTGTAGTTTGCACGTACAGGTGCCCACAATAACCCCAAACCACCAACACCCAGCGTCTAGATATTTTTCCTCCCTTCAAACTAGGATGCAAAAAAAAAAAAAAAGCACGTGTAAATTTTTTTAATGCTAAGGCTTTCAGTGTGCTTTGTTTTTATGTGAGATACACATACACACCACTTTATAACCAATTTCCACAGCTTTTTCCTTAAATAAGGATGTGGAAATTCAGGTTTAAAACTAAAAAACACACACAAGAACAATTACTTTACATGTCATTTATTTTCAGTTGTGTGAGACAAACACACACACGAAAATAAACTTCTACAGCTTTTTCTTCTAACTAGAAACTAGACAGTTCAGGTTATAATTTTTAAAATTAAGTTAAACTCTGGAGTTTTTTGTTACCTCCCTTTTAATTGCTTGAGTTTTAGATATTTACAAATTGTCTCCTTTTAATTGTTTTCCTTGTGTTTTTAACATGATAGGTATGTGTACATTTCAAGTTTTTATTTATTATTTTCAAACAATCAGAAAAGTAGGTAAAATGGAATAAAATCCACTTCCCCATTTCATCACCACATTCAACAATTAGTAACACTTTGCCTCATTCGTTTCATTTCGGGGGGGGGTAATAAGACTATGAAGTGATATTTTGACATTTCACCACTAAAAATTTCAGTAGTCCTCCAACAAAATTAGAAATGAAATCAGTTAATTATTTTAATTAATATTTTCTTAAAATCACCTAAAACCCAGCCCACATTCGAATCTGACAGCTATAGTTTGATTTGCTACATGGTTTTGAAATTAACAAGTCAGAAAAGAGATCTAAAAATTTTTATGAGCTAGATCTGCAGTAAAAACACTGCACAAGTTACTTCACAGTTGTTAAAAATTGTGTCAGACGAGAGAGTTTTTCCCCAGTGTTTGCAGCACTTTTCCAACTTCCAGAAAAGTTGAAAAACTGTACCCTCTACTTAGCCAAGTTTAGTATCTTGCCACATTGATTTTATGTAGAAATAGTTTCTGCAGAATTTGTAAACAAACTGCAGACGGAACCTTCATCCTCAAAACGCTTCAGAAACTGACGACCTGCCATGTGTTTTTTAATGCACACAATTAAAATACATAAATGTGTTTTCTTTTTAATTCTAATTGAGCAAACCATTTTTGTTTAATTGCAAATTCTATTTTTTAGATTGTCTGGACTACAAAAATATTTTAAATGATCTGAGACTTTAGTCTAATGAATGTAACATTTTAAATGGTCTAACATACAGAAAATATTCTTTAATGCTCTTAGACATGTATTTTTAGTTTGATTTAGAAATATACTTTCAAGAAACTGTCTGCCTTAAATATCTGTACATTTCTGACATATCAATTTTTCCAAATTGTGTACTTTAGTTATCAATTTTCAATTTATTGACTTAGCTGATATAATTTTTTTCATTTCAGTTGGATTTGGAAATCTATTTTCAAGAAATAGCATTATCCATCTGTACATTTTCTGACATCTCTATTTTTCCAAATTGTGCACTTTAGATATCAATTTTTAATTGCTTGACTTAGCTGATATATATAGATATATATATGTATATATCTATATATATTAATTGTAGTTGGATTTGGCAATCTATTTTCAAGAAATAGCATTATCCATCTGTACATTTTCTGACATCTCTATTTTTCCAAATTGTGCACTTTAGATATCAATTTTTAATTGCTTGACTTAGCTGATATATATAGATATATATACGTATATATCTATATATATTAATTGTAGTTGGATTTGGCAATCTATTTTCAAGAAATAGCATTATCCATCTGTACATTTTCTGACACCTCTATTTTTCCAAATTGTGCACTTTAGATATCAATTTTTAATTGCTTGACTTAGCTGATATATGTAGATATATGTATATATATCTATATATATTAATTGTAGTTGGATTTGGAAATCTATTTTCAAGAAATTGCATTACCCATTTGTACATTTTCTGACAGATCTACTTTTCCAAATTGTGTATTTCAGGTATCAAATTTTAATTGTTTGACTTAGCTTATGGATATATATATATATATATATATATATATATTTTTTTTTAATTTTAGTTGGACCTGGAAATCTATTTTCAAGAAATTGTCTGTATTACTCATCTGTACATTTTCTGACATCTCTATTTTTCCAAATTGTGTACTTTAGGTGTCAATTTTTAATTGTTTGACTTAGTTTATATATACATTTTTAAAATTTTAGTTGGATCTGGAAATTTATTTTCAAGAAATTGTCTCCCTTACCTATCTGTACATTTTCGGATACATTTATTTTCCAAATTGTGTATCTTAGGTATCAATTTTTAATTGTTTGGCTTAGCTTATGGATATATTTTTTTAAATTTTTAGTTGATTTGGAAATCTATTTTCAAGAAATCGTCTGCATTACTCATCTATACATTTTCTGACACATTTATTTTCCAAATTGTGTACTTTAGGTATCAATTTTTAATTGGCTTATCTTATGGATATATATTTTTAATTTTAGTTGGATTTGGCAATCTAGTTTCAAGAAATTGTCTGCATTACTCATCTGTATATTTTCTGACATCTCTATTTTTCCAAATTGTGTACTTTAAGTGTCAATTTTTAATTGTTTGACTTAGGTTATATACACACCTTTTAAATTTTAGTTGGATCTGGAAATTTATTTTCAAGAAATTGTCTGCCTTTCCTATCTGTACATTTTTGGACAGATCTACTTTCCAAATTTTGTACTTTAGGTATCAATTTTTAATTGTTTGGCTTAGCTTATAGATATACATTTTTAAATTTTAGTTGGATTTGGATATGTATTTTCAAGAAATTATCTGCATTACCCATTTGTACATTTTTTGACTTATCTATTTTTCCAAATTGCTCACTTTGGGTATTAATTTTTAATTATTTGACTTAGCTTATATAGATATATAAAAATATACATTTTTTAATTGCCTATCTTAGAAAACCATTTTAAAAGCTGGCCTGACTGAGAGCTGCACTGTTAAAAAGCTGCCAGTCTCAGACCCCAGGTTTTTAAACTGTCTGATCTAATTACTGTCGTAATTAATAATAAAAAAGTGTCACGTCACCCAACAGTTCACAGTATTTTGAACCTTATAAAAATTTAAAAGCAAACAATATTTTTTCATTCAATTAAAAGAGACACCTTAGGAACATGGTGAATTTTAGTTGTTTGTATTCCGCCCCCCCACAGCGTGACATGAAATCAAGCCATTTAAGGGACATGTAATCCTTATATCTTCTTTAATAAAACAAGTTCCAACATGGAATTTTTTTCATTCAATTTCTACTCTCTAATTCTTGCTTATTTCAGAATATTCTTTTCAAAATTAGTGCTGGAATTAGCCCATTTCTATTTTACACTCATTTCAGTATAATGCCATTTCAGTTTACAAATGCAAAAACCTTCAAATTCCTAAGTAAGTAAAAATATAAACACACTCTACCCCTGTTCTCTGTGATTTTTTATCTGAGTGTGAGTGATTTTACCCTTAAAACTGCTCACACGGCTTGGACTAGCTTTTCTGCAGGAGCAACAATGGCCAAAGGCAGTTTCCACCTGTGATTTACAAAACAGAAAATCTGTCTGGGTGGACATCCTGTCCATAATGAAGACACATGGCATCATTTTTCTGAAGCACTTAGATAGTCATAAAGAAAAAATAAAGGAAAAGGCAATACAGTCCCTAAGAGGTAAAAGGAATGCGTGACTTGCAAACCTGTATATTTCCAGTTTAATCCCCAAGAACCTGGTTTTGGGGGCGGGGGGGGGGGACTTGATTCCTTCTTCCTTCAAGGCTGCCCCTGGGCTGTCTAAAGCCCGCAGCCCCCCCTACAAATTAGTTTCATGACCGCACTTTTCCATTTCAGATATGAGAAAGCTGCTAATCATTACTGTCTGGTTTAGATCATCCAGACGGCCCTCTCCCCTTATTTAACAGCAGAAAACTGAGGCTCACAAAGGGAGAAAAGCCCCCATCAAACACCAACCCAGAAAGATGTCATGTTTGAGGGCCCTGCCTATACCAGATTCTGCTGCGGGGCTAAAGAAAGGTTCAGGCTAATGAAATTAAAAAACCTGTGCTATTTGGGGGTTCCTTTTCACAAACACACTGTTTTATTTTCTTTTTTAAGTTCGAATGGAGGGAAGAGCTTAATTTCCTGCCAGGGAAATGGAAAACGAAGATCCCAGCACCTTCCAAGCTCATACACGAGCCCCCAGAAAAAACAGTGAAGCAATTATTCATAAGGTAGGCGACCACACAGCGGGCTGCGAGGCCATTAGAAGAAAAAGGGGGAAAAAAACAAAACCTAACCCCCCCAAACCCCACAACTCCTTCGTCGTTTGGGGGGAGGGTGCTGTTCATTTGCAAGGATTTGGATCTGTGATCCCGCTTCCTGTCCTCAGAACCAAAGTGAGGCTCAGCATGGGGGGGTGGGGGGAGGGGGGTGAAAACAAAACGAAACAAAAAGGCTTCAGAAAGCCTCCAAGCTTCCAAATCTTCGTGTTAAAACATATGTAAATTGGAGGCGGATTGTCGTGCAGTGACGACGGTCGCGGGGTGGGGAAGTGGGGTGCGGGGGCGAGGAATTGGGAGGGTTGCGGAAGTGAGGAGGGAGAGAGAGCAAGGCAGAGGTGGAGCGGGGACCTAATTCCCCCCCCCTCCATCTACAGATGCCAAGAGACCTCGCATCACCGAATTACTCTTATCCTTTTTTTTTTTTTTTTTTAAACAGAGAGACAGACACAGACAGACAGACAGGCAGAGCCGCAGTGCACACGAGGCGTGTGTCGGAGAGGCCGCCCGGGGACTCACCGCAGCATTGCTACGTGAATGCAGAGGGCTGGAGGTGATGTGACTACTCACTTGCTCGGCTAACAGCTGCCGGTTTTGGATGGAATTATTCCGCAACAACAAGAAAGCGTCGGTTAAACGCCTGGTGGCCATGGCTCACCCTTTGTGACCCCACTGTCAGGGGCCCCCCGCCCACGATAGTCCTGATTTGTTCACTTTCTTGGTCTTGCCTGGCCTAGTCGGCCCACCCTTCGCAGCAGCTTCTCTTGAGAAGGCCTCAGACCCCGAGCCAGACAGGAGCAGCGCTGCGCCTCGTCCAAGCACGAAGACCCCTCCCCAAATAGCCGCCCAGGCTTTTCAATTGTCTGAGTACCCCTCCTCAAGACCTGCCTTCGATCTCTAAGCACTTAAATCCCCCCAATCCTTGCCTAGCTGGCCAGCCTCCCAGAGACCCCTCCCCAATCCAACCTCGGATCTACAAGCGTCTCACTCGCCAATCCAGCTCTGGACTGGGAGGCTCTGAAGCCCCCTACCCCCCTTAGTCTCAGAGACCCTCAAGCGTCTTGGTCTCCTGCCCTTAGCTTGGCTCACACGCGCCCCTGGGCTGTGCCATGAGGCCTGGGTCTGACTCAGTTTCCCCACTAGAGGCCTGGCCTTGACCCTCTTTGTACAATCGGGAGAGGCCACGGCCCTGAACTCCAGGGCGCCTGGGACTGCTTTCGTGGGCCTCGCCTGAGCCTGCTGAGGCCCAGGCCCGACCTCCTGACCCCTTCCCTTTCTGGACTGCCAGCTCCTCGACTGTCACAACAGGCCGCCGGCCTCCAGCAAGGCAGCGGGGCCTGTTTGCCGGCCTTCTCACTCCTCTTCTCCGGCTCCCTCCATCCCAGGATCTGAGTGCAGCTCAGCCCCGGGCCGTTTCCGTACTGTGGTCCCGGGTTCTGGCGTCCCCCCTGGCCCTCTTCCTGTCCGTCCCTCGCGAGTGCCCCCCTGCGACGTTCACAAGCCCTGCTCGCAACGTTCCGGGCGCGGGAGCTCCCTGCCCCCTGGCCCCAGGGCGCGGGAGCGCTCCGCCCTCTCCCTGGGCGCTCCCGGGGCGCCCGGTTTACCCTTCCCCAACTGGGCCCTGGCGCGGGGAGCGAGCGAGCGGGCGGGCCAGAGCCTCGAGAGTGTGGCCCCCACGCTGCAAACCGAGGCCAGGGGCCTGGGCCCGCACATTAGAGTGGAGTTGCGCGGCAGGCAAATTTGGGCTCCAGAAGGGCCGAAGTTTGAGGTGCGCGCGGAGTTGGGGCGGGAGAGGAAAAGTTGGAGACGACTGCCTCTGGAGGCCGAGCACGCTCCACTGCAGGCAGAGGCTCGCGCTCGCTTTTTTTTTTTTTTTTTTTTCCCCAATGCTAAAAAAAGATGTATCTGAAAAACAACAAGCTTAAAAAAAAGGCAAAAGCAACAGCTAGAGCCCCAGGCCTCCTGGGCCGCGCCGCCGGCTGCAGTTGGGGGGTCGTGGGGGCACCCGCCCTCCCCGGCTGCCACTTTCTGTAGGGGGCACTATAGGGTTGTGAAATCTCAAGTGGAAAACATCCCCAAAACTTTGACAGCCCCTCTCCCCCCAAATAACTTTTTCCTGCGGAGTGGGCCCGCGCATCCGCGTGCTGGACCTGGCCTCGTGCCCCCCACTTTTAGGGCCGCGCTTTCCGGCGGTCAGGCAGGGCCAGGGGAGGCAGGGGGGCCCGCCGGCGACCCCAACACTCCACCCGGGACCCGGGTCGGCGGGATTCAGACAGGGGCTCCGCGGATCCGTGTCGGTCTCGAGTCGCCCCAGCCTGAGCCCGGCGAGCAGGGGGCAGGAGGCCTTCCCACAAGGGAGGCACCGAGCCCGCCGAGGCCCGCAGCCCGGAGTGGTCTGGGCCGAGCGGGTCGGGGTCGCGGAGCCGGGCGGCTTCGTCTCCCCCGGACCGGGCGACCAGGCCGGTCGGCTTCCCCCAGGGCGAGCCGAGACCACCGCGGAGCCGCCGGGCAGGCTTCGGGAGTGAGGTCTTAGCAAAGGAAAAGCTCCCCGAAATCCGGGATCGGGCCCTGACCCCTGCATCTGTTCCTGCGTGACCCAAACTTTACACACGCGTGTGGCTTTGCCCTGGGCTTTCGAAGAGGAGCCCGGCTAAGTGAGCCACACAAAGCCAGTGCCGACGCGCACAAAGGGGCTCGTAGGGCGGCGCGTGGACCGCGGGGTTCCGAACCGGCTCCGCCGAATCGCGGCGACCCCGAGTATCTCTATACACTGTTTTCTAAAGGAGAATGCTTCTGTGTGTCAGTTGTGACATTAAACATGTTAAAATGTGTTCAGGAGATACATCAAAAAGCAAAACATAAAAAGAACAAGAAAGGGAGAGCCAGAGAGCCGGGCTGGCGCGTTCATTTCGAGGAAGGGGCGGCGGCTGCCAGAGCCTGGGCGGCGGAGCGGGGCTCGCGGAGCAGGGGCGCTGGCTCGCACCTTCCCGGGCCTGGGCCAGGCGCGGGTGCCCCAGCTCCCCGCGGCGCGGAGCCGCAGACAGCGAGCAGCCCGCTTTCCCGAGCTGCGGGCTGTGGCGGCGCGAAGACGCCGCTGTCAAGGCAGAGACCCTGAGTTATCTCGTGCAGGGAAATTCGGGGAGCCCGGCTTGGACCCCCGGTTTACTCGGCACCGCGGGAAATATTTGCATATTTGCCGAAGGAGGGGGAGCTCTGTCCCCACGCCGCATATGATCCCCCAGTGACAACTGACCCCAGCACCTGACTGGGACCCCCTGCTCCCCGCTTCGGAGGACAGACCACTGTAAATAATAACTGAGCCCATCTTCGTGAGATCATCAGATTAGAAATGTCGCCCGCGCTATGTTCCTTTCTCTTAAGCGCTCTTCACCTTGCAAAGCGGGGACTTGTTTACTTCTCCTCGCTCTCTCCCGCAGGCTAGAACGTGACCTTCCTCCTACGCAGGGACCGTGTATTATTTATCTGTGTACCCACTGCCATTTCCTCTGCCTTGGAATAGGCTCCGGATAAATGTTTTTAAAATATGGGTATGAATGAATGAGAGACCCGCGGTTTAGTCCCCTAACTCTCCCACCTTCCTGGAGTGACTTTAAGCCTTTATAGCCCTTATCTGCCAAGAAAGAAAGAAAGAATGTGGGGTTTTAATAATCCCTGTAATCCGTGCCCTGTCTACCTCTGGGAGGCTATTGTGTTGATCAAATGAGATAAGTGAAAACCTTTGTAAACTATCAGGGGCTGAGCAAATATTACATAGGATGGTTATGCATTCATTCCCTTCCCAAGGAAAATAATGTTTCCTGGGCTGGTGTTTTAGCAGATGGTGGTTGCCCTTCCTGGTCAGTCTTAAATATTTATTCCAGGGTGATCTTGTGTGTGTGTGTGTGTGTGTGTGTGTGTGTGTGTGTGTGTGTGTTTACATTTAGGAAGTCCATCAGGCTTCTGTTTCTGTGAGAGAAATGAACAGTGCTTGCCTACAGAAATAATGGAAGAAACATTCTCCTATGCCCCAAACAGCCACCGGAACCAAGCAGACCCAGAGCCCAAGCCCAGGGAAATGGCAGAGTCATGAGATTGGCATAGCAACCCCAAGGCAGCACCTGCCGCTCTGGCCAGGCTCAGGACTGTGTGCATGAAATGGTGTTAAGTGAAAAGCAGGGAGCCAGGAGAGGACAAGGACCTGGCAGGGATGGCCTCTGTGTCCACCCTGACCCATATTGGGAGGGAGGGAAAGGGAGGGGGAGGATGTAAATCATTATATTTGAATGTTCCTTGGCTGTTTTATTTTCCTGTCAAGTGGCTTAAGCCTGTGTTTTTTTTTTTTTTAAAGCATTCCCTCATGGCCAAGTATGTGTTTCCTTGGAATTGAAATCTAGGTTGATGGTTTTATATTTTAAAAGCTTTCATTGTGACTCATTCTTGGCCCGGGCCAGGGTTCTGCAATACTCCCCAAGCCCCAGAAGCCTGGGTGTCCTGTTTCTTGGGCTTCATACCCACTTTCTAACATTTTGCCAATGGATCCAAGAAGTCACTTTTGGAGACAAGTATTTCATTGTCTTCTTGTCCTCTTAATCCATTTGGAAGGGACCCATACACATAGACTCTTCCAGCTTGAACCAGACGGTGGACTGCATGCTTGGGAGGAGGTTCCCAGTGTTAACAGGTTTGTGGTTAGACAAAATGGGTCAGCAGGGTGAGACTCACCACCTCGGGTGAGGCAGTTTCGATGAGACAGGGTTCGCGGAGCCCTCAGAGGCCCAGAACACAGTAAGCGGGCACCCTGGGCCCCTGGTTTATCACAGAGCCGTTTTGCTGACACAGAGCTCACATGGGCTCCGCTCTTCCCAGAAGTCATCGTGGCTCACTCCAAGGGGGAGATGGGGACTGGGCCCTCTCCCAGCACACGGCTGAGATCCCGATTCTGTGGCTCAGGAATCCAGACGTGTGTGCATGTGCTCTCAGGCAGAAGATGGGTTTCAACAGCTGTCCCTGGACGCCTCTGAACTTTGGCTTTTCTAGCACCTCTTGTAAAACCCTTGATAAAAGGTCCTGCTTTTATCGAGATGAGCAGCAAAAGGCCCCCGAGCTTCATGAATGTCTCCTCTGCACAGGTTCGACATACCTGGCAGATTCTGGCCAGATCTAGGTAAGAGGAGCTTTGGGTTCTGTCTCCCCAAATGACTCCTCCAAACCTTGAGCATGTCTAGCCTCAAAAAACTCCCCGGCTCTGTCTATCTTCAGCCACGAGGCCTTCCCCAAGCACAGGGACTCCAAAGGGGTGGCAGCGTTGTGCTGCCCAGGCTTCATTCATTTTTGTTTTCGTTTTCACTACACAATTCAGTTCAGTGGGCATTTCTAAGGGTGGAGCAGTGGCTGTGCCCAGCCCGGCCTGTGCTTCTCCGCCACCTCTGCCTGAGCGCCGGTTCTCATCACATGTGTTTCTCCAACAGTCTTCTAACGGGCACCCTCTCTTCCCTCCCACCCAGCCTCTGCCCCTGCAGCTGAGGTGACCTTTCCAAAGCACAAATCTCATCATGTCACTGCCTGACCGAGGCCCCTCTGGCCCACACCAGCAATGAGCAGCAGAAAACAGGTGCTCCCAAAGCCAGGCCATCACTAACAGTAACTGATGACGGTCTCTTCCTGGTTGGCAGAAGAAAAATTTAGCTGATTGATGGAACAGTCTCCATGTTAAGTGTTCTTCCCCTCGCTCCTCCTTAAGCCTTTGGTCCCTGCTATCACTTGGCTATATTAGAATATAGTACAAGACTGTATCAGAGGTATCCCAGATTCAGGTATTAACTTTTTTTTTTTCACATATCAACATTTCCTGGTGCTCTGCTCTCCCAGGGGGTGAGGATGGAGGCCGGGCATTCAAGGCCCTTCTCAGCGGGCCCCATCCGAGTGGTGAGCTTCTTCCTTCCAGAACTTGGCTCCTTGCGGTGTTCTCTGCCTAGATTCTGCCTAGATGGAGGGTCTTGCCCCTCCTGCTTGGTGAACAGTCCCTTCAGCACTTAGCACCACCTACTGTCTGGGGTAATACATGTTTGTGGAATAGATGAATGGGTAGATTGACGGATAGAAAGATGAGATTAAATGTATTAACTACCAGAGTAGACCGGATGGTCAAGAGCCTAACTGGGTGGGACAGACAGACAGACAGGACGGCGGTCTGCTCTCCTGCTCAGAATCACTGCCCTTATTGCAATGCCTGGAACCTTAGCACTTTCCTTCCCTCCTACCCAGCATCTCCGCCTGTCTGGCCCTTCTTCTGACTCCAGTCTCAGACATCCCCATGTGGAGCAGCTCCGCACCTTGCCTGTGGCATCGGGGAAGGACCTGTCCTCTCCCAGGCCCCTAGGCCCACCCTACCATGGGCCCGTGGTCAGTCAGCTTCAAGACTCAAATAACATCTAGCC